AGCCAAGTCATCCGTGTCGATTTCACATTCATTCACATGTTCGACAATATTTCGTTCGCCTTCCAAAAGGAGGCCTTCACAGAGCTGTATTAAGTAATCTTTGACCAACATACCATTTTCCCCTTTGAATGTTATGGTATTGAGCTTACCCGGGTACCAAATAATTGTAAGGTCTGAGGCTGATGCGACAAATCGTTTGGAACTGCCACCAGGCAGACTCCATTCGCCTTGTTGACCAAGAGCGGTTTTCACAAAAACTTTCAGGTCGCAGTATGTTCCACACCATTTCAGCCGTTTGCCATCGTAGGAAATGATTTTCGTAAGCACTAATTTTCGTATTTTGTAGAAATCACATACAACCTCGAGGCTATCGACACTTAAGTGGTTGATATTCGTATAGCAAGTCGCCATACCTGTAGTATTTGATCCATACATGAACGGAAAAAGTGCATGATTAATGATTGCGAATTGCTGAAAATTAAATTTACTCAGGCATATTCCGGCAAAAAACAATCACTAATCCATGTCATGCAATTAATATTCCTATTTTTACAGCTATTTTTATATGCATATATCTAACCACAATAAAGCCTTGCGTAACAATCCTATTGTCAGATCCTTATGTTAAAGAAATAAAATATAGGTAAATAATTATGTCCTTTTGTAAAACGCATATTTTGGAAATTAATTATATATTTTTCGCACGCATTCGTTTATACTTTGCCTCACCGATTTACCAGGCGATGATATTTCTTAGTTCAAAGCAATGCAAACTAATCAACGGATATTTCTCCTGTAATTTTAGATGCTTGCTCTGCACCGAAAACTATTCGCATATCTGAAGCCACATACAGTTTGTCGAGCAGCTGCGCTCAGAAATGTTTGCAGGAACCTTTTTGTGCTGGGTATAACTTTAAGAATATGCTCCAGAAAACGAACTCGAACTGTCAGTTAGCACACGCTCTGAATTACAACATAAGCAATTGCAACATAGGCGACAAAGGCTGGGTGTTTTATCATTTGCTTGGACAAAGGAAGGTAAATAAATTGCTTCTTTCTTTTTATGAGCACACGCAATGTATTCAATTATCGAAGTGATTTATTATATTTATTAAATTATTCACAGACAGCAAGCATTCCCACGAACAGATTTTCAAAGTGCCGCTTTTAAGCCGATCGATCGAATTTTTATTCCAGCAGCTAGGTGCTGCAAACAATATTCTGATGGATATATACCTATTACACCAATGACTTGAACCTCTAAAATACACATAGCTATATTTATAATATTTATATATAGCACCTACAACTGTATAATAATTTTATTCAGTTACATAGCTGTGAAGTTATAATGCATTAGATTGAAAGTTTATCTTTTGAATGTTGCATGTGATGAAAAATTCGATAGTTAGACCATTAAAATACAAACCAATTTTTCATAGGTGCCTTGTAGTAAAATGAAGAATTGTAAAAATGGAGGAAAAACAGTCATTGCTCTTAACGATGGACCTGGATCAGATCCTTACAAGTGTAGATGTGAAGAAAAATACGAAGGAAATCTTTGTGAATATGGTGAGCGAAGCGTTTTAGCGTGATTTTGATACTTGATCAGAACTAGTGCGATAACTACGAGCTTAATATATCAGCGCGAAAAGTATAAATGCGTGATGGTAGTAGAACGAGCTACATAGAGCGAGGGGCAAATAAGCACATTTATTTTGAGAGAGTCATTCTAAATATTGAATCATGCTCTCAATTTTGAAACCATCGCGCTTCACAAACACAAGCGTTAGACACCGAAGTCTTTACGGAAAGCTGAAATACGATAAAACGAATTTTTGCCTTCCTTTGGTCTCGTATCGTTTCGGAATACCTGTTTATGGACTACATTCGTATTTCTGGTTATAATTTTAAATCAATTTAGCGCCTCCCCTCTTCTGACTACACGAATAAACTGTGTTTACCGCTCGTGACTGATAAAACTTGAAAATTTTAAATCAAGTCAACTGGATTATAATTTTCTATAGCTACAGACCTCTTCTCTGAATCCACGATACTGTCTGGAATACTTCATTTATATCAAAATTTGCTACAAACATGGATCGGAAGAAGCTATAATACATTGCTTGGTTGGCGCGCAAGTATAGATGGATGGGCAGCAGCTACTTTCCACACAAGATGTGGTCACAAGAAACCAACTGTTACCTTCATAAAAGTTGGTGAATATATCTTTGGTATCTCCGTTACAGCGTCTTCGGATGGTAAGACTGATAATAACACTGTCGGCAGCGCAGCTTTGTCTTGCGTTTGTGACACACGAGCAAATCAAAGTCTGGGCTTCCTATCAGAGCATCAGTATTTAAAATTTTATTACTTTCAGCAAATGCTAGTTATATCACCATTATTAATGAATGAGTGTTCAAAGATGGTAATAGTTCCTTAAAATATAATGCACTACGTATATTAGGCGCATCACTGATTTCTTTTGAGCGCTATTGTTCCGGTACGGTATATAAAAATCAATATAATTATGAATATACATCCCCCAATTAAGCGGTCTAGCTACGGTCCTGAGTACACATTGCACATGCTAGAAAGCTATGAGAGGAAAGCTATGAACTATCAATTTTTGAAATTCGTCACATGGCTAGGTTCTATTAATTCATTTAGCTTAATTTTGACAAGTTGTTCGTTAGTCCTCTTCTGGACATTGATAATTATCACATTCCACACTGAAAATCTCTTCAGCTAGCTCTTTTCTTGTAGTATACGATTGTGATGAACAATTAAATTACGTTATTTGAACAACCAGGTTCATGGCACTGAATGAAGTTGGCTCAGTAGTGCACTAGTTAATACCTCATGACCAAAAGGTTATAGTGTACTGTAGCTGTCTTTTCCTGCATTTTACTTACAATACTTTACTTTTTCAGCCCAAAGTCGTGTTTTTCAAAGCTCCACTTTATGGATGGAGTTATTTTTTGTAATCCAATTTTTGAACAGGTGGAATTCCAATGTTTTTGTGATGAAGAGCAGAACATTGGAAAACCGGTCAACTCACTTGGGCGATGTTGACAGCCGGGCCAACTCGGCTAGGTGGGATAAAATTTGCATCATTTGTCCATGTAATCGCAATTTGCATGTAATCGCTGTGCATGCCCAAATTTTGCAGTCATCGCATAGCAACAAAGTTGTTCATACAGACTTTAGTTTGGAATTGTGTTATACAGATCAACGTTTGCAAATATCAATTCTTTTTAATGGGAATGAAGCGCAAAATGCCAATCGTCATTTTAAAGTTCATATTCCTGCCCCGCTATATACACGCAATGCACTGCATGCCCACAACTTATTTTACTAAAAGCGTGTATTACAAGGATTTAGTCAAGTTTTCTGTTTAGTTTGGTTATTATTGATAATAAATTTGCATATACCCATGGAATTAATATTATGAATAATGTGTTTTCATTATACGGTAATCCTGCGTGTTTATTGTGTCGTCTTTAGTTCCTGCGTGCCTGCTAATTAAACGCCAACAAAATCAAATTCGTTTTTGTGTTTCTACTTTCTCTGGCTTGTTTCTATGGTCTTTCGCCGTACTAGACTTTATGATGTAAAAATGTGGAAAAGCTTCAAAAATCTTCGCGGTCTGGTCAAAAAAACGCCATTATAAGTATTAAAGCATGATATATTCCAATTGATCGTGTTTCCGTCACTAAACATGCATACAAGATTACCAATCAAATATTTATTAGAAATTAAAAGTGAGCTAATGAAAATTATTACACCGGCTCGAAATTTTATGACTTTTATAGAGTTCATAACTTTCGGTTTGTGCATGTTTAACCAAGTGAATGAAGATCAGAGCGATTAACCGACGTTTAGGCGTTTTAGAAAAGAAAGATACAAACCACAATTATAAACTGAAATATATAAGAAACGGTATAATTTATTTTCCGCCAGAGAAACTTTGATTACTAAAAAAATATTTTAATTGAAAAGAGTGTTTTGACCTTGCTATAGCAACTGAGGGAAGTTACAATTAATAACGCCAATATTATATACGGACGATATTATTGAGTTTCTGTGATACTCCAGACGTTAACTACAATCCATGGGGCCGGTAACGATGTGAAATGCAATCCAGTCGATTGTGAAAGCTAATAGAAAAAATTGTATAGGGGACATTAAATTGTTAATAAAATTGTACTCCGAGATATGTTGCTAATGCGGTTGTAAGCCAAAATGTTGCGTTTCATTATGACAAGAAACTTTCCCGGAGGATTTCTTGTTCTGTTATTCCTGCCAGGTTTTGCAAAATTAGAAGATGAGTATTGCAGGCCAGAAGACGCTACGAATATGGCAATATCTTTTCGATTATTGCTTAAAGGTACAATATGATATAATATATGAAATGAATATTGTGATGTTGCTACTCTGAGTCAGCAATCGGGTAAGCTGAATATTAGCTTGACCACGGTGGGAATCGAACCCGCGACCATGGCATGGTTTGCTAGTCCATGATATAATATATGATTGAGAATATGAGACGTGTGTAAATATAGGTTATAACTAGTTATACGCTAAAGCTATAATTCTTGCATGGTGAGTAGTGAAATGGACTTCATATAGAACTCATGATTAATGATTTCTGCGACGCATTCAGCTTATTAGTCCGCCTGTTCCAGATCCTTATGTTAAAGAAATAAATCGTAGGTAAATGTGCATGTCCTTTTGTAAAACGCACATTTGGGAAATTAATTATATAGGTTTATGTTTCTCAAACATTCGTTCAAACTTTGCCTTACCGATTTACCAGGCGATGATATTTCTTAGTTCAAAGCAATGTAAACTAATCAACGGATATTTCTCCTGTAATTTTAGATGCCTGCTCTGTACCAAAAACTATTCGCATATCTGAAGCCACATACAGTTTGTCGAGCAGCTGCGCTCAGAAATGTTTGCAGGAACCTTTTTGTGTTGGGTATAACTTTAAGAATATGCTTGAGAAAACGAACTCGAACTGTCAGTTAGCACACGCTCTGAACTACAACCTGAGCAATTGCAACATAGACGACAAAGGCTGGGTGTTTTATCATTTGCTTGGGCAAAGGAAGGTAAATAAATTGCTTTTCTTTTTTTATGAGCACACGCGCAATGCCATAAATTATCGAAGTGATTTATTATATCTATTAAATTATTCACAAACAGAAAGCGTTCCCACGTTCTGATTTTAAAAGTGCCGCTTTTAAGTCGACTGATCGAATTTATATTACAGCAGCAGGTGCTGCAAGCAATATTCTGATGAATATAATTATTACACCAATGACTTGAACCCTTAAAGTATATTGGTATACCCATAGCTATTTTATAATATTTATATATAGCACCCACAGCTATATAATCTTTACATAGCTGTGAAGTTATAATGCATTAGATTGAAAGTTTTTCTTTTCAATGCTGCATCTGATAAAAAATTTGATAGTTAAAATACAAACCAATTTTTCAAAGGTGCCTTGCAGTAAAATGAAGAACTGTAAATATGGAGGAAAAACAGTCATTGATCTTAACGATGGACCTGGATCAGATCCTTACAAGTGTAGATGTGAAGAAAAATACGAAGGGAATCTTTGTGAATATAGTGAGTGAAGTGTTTTAGCGTGATTTTGATTCTTGATCAGAACTAGTGCGATAACTACGAGGTTGATATATCAGGGCGAAAAGTATAAATGCGTGATGGTAGTGGAATGGTTTAATTTATCTGCATTCTTGGCTTGATATCTCCGGAAAAAAGTGTTGTCTTTCTTTTCATTTCCATTCATTTATATTTTCTATTCTTTTATTCAATATTTTATAAAAACTATAGGCCGGCGGAACCAGGGGAGTCTCGTCTCAGACGAAAATTCACACCCCTGACCCCCTTTGACATACAAAATATAGGAAGATATATTTTATACCAACAAGTAACAAATTACGGATAAAACAATAAATAAAAACTTCACTTTGTGATTGTTCTAAGTCCTTAAAACATGGAGTAAATTAAGTTTATTATTTATTTAAAATAATTCACAGTCTGTCATTGGCTAATAGCCATATGTGAAATCGTCATATACAACGTGTGACGTCATAACGTGTGATACAAATTTTTTTAGTGTGATAATTTAGGATTAAAGCACTCTGTGAGTGCATTATGGGGTTTTACATCCACGAGTTCACGAACAAGGAACGAGAAGTTAAATACTGCACAAGGCGAAGCCGAGTGCAGTATGGAACTTCGAGTTCCTTGTTTTTGAACGAGTGCATGTAAAACCCGATAATACACAAACAAAGAGTGCTTTAATGCTTTTAATATTCATTTTGAGTAAACTCGTAAAGACTTTATATCATTTTAAAACTTAAATAAACAACACATGCTTGCCTTTAAATACTAAAACACCCTAACCAGTTGCCTGTTTAGTATTTTTCAGTGTGGATTCATCTATAATTACATTAATTTCTTCTTAACTAAGGTCGGCAATTTTTTGTTTATTGCCGCCATTTTGATCGTAGAATAAATCCTATAACGGCACTGCCGTGGCGTTGTTGCTATATAAAATTCACTCACGTGGTACAAATCGACCAATCAGAACGTACGTTTACAAAAAATGAATATTAAATAGTCGTATCCCACGTTTGACGTCACACGAATGGCGAAGACATCAACACAATGGCTTCCTCAAGTGAAAGGTTCGGCAACTTTGAGGAATACATGTTCGTTCTTTTAAATAACTAATAAAACATTTATTGAATTCGGTTTTCACATGATATGAAGAATTATCAAGTCTCAGTTTGTCATTATCAACCTCAGCCTTCGGCTTCGGTTGATAATGACAAACTTCGGCTTGATAATTCTTCATATCATGTTCAACCTCATTCAATAATTGCTAATTATGCACAGGGCGCCGAAACAGGAGAATGGAAGGGAGGCAGCAGGTGCAGCTTCCCGGCCCCTTTTTACGAGCGAGAGCGAGGGGCAAATATGCCCATTTATTTTGAGCGAGTCATTTTAAATAATTTTATTAACCATGCTATCAATTTTAAAACCATCGCGCTTCACAAGCACAAGCGTTAGCCACGGAAGTCTACACGGAAAGCTAAAATACGATGAAACGAATTTACCCCCCCTTTAGACTGTGTTCGCCACTCCTGATAAATCTTGCAAAAATCAAATCAAGTCAACTGGATTAAAATTTTCTTTAGTTACAGGCCTCTTCTCTGAATCCACGATACTCTCTGGAATACTTCACTTATATCAAAATTTGCTACAAACATGGATTGGAAGAAGCTATAATACATTGCTTTGTTGGCGCGCAAGTAGAGACGGATGGGCAGCAGCTACATTCCACACAAGATGTGATCACAAGAAACCAACTGTTACCTTCATAAAAGTTGGTGAATATATCTTTGGTTTCTTCGTTACAGAGTCTTGGGAAGGTAAGTGTGATATAAGCCCTGGATAATATCTGCAAAGGCACTACTCAGCCATTGCTATGACAACGGAACGTACGTTTTGGACAGTTTTGAGATTTAGTTTGTTTATGGTTTTCGCCTTGTTTTTTCTACGATTTTTTCTATTGTACTATAGATATTAGGAGGCAATAGATAGGTAACCTTTTTTCTTCAGATCTGAACTTATAGTATAAGTTCCTATAGCTCATACTAATTCTGTATAACTTTTCGGTTAATGTAGTTTCATCGCACATTGATACACAATAAATAATTTAGACAGTCACGTCCGGAACGCGACAGTAAGACTGCTAATAACACTGTGGGCAGCGCAACTTTGTCTTGCGTGTGTTACAAACGAGCAAATCAAAGTCTGGGCTTCCTATCAGAACATCGGTATTTAAAAATTTATCACTTTCAGAAAATCCTAGTAAATCACCATTATTAAAATTAATAACGTTCAAATTAAAATAATTAGTGCATTTATATGGCGTAGATTTCCAATCTAAGTGGTTCGTGTGAGAATATTTTGCGCAAGCTTGCATATAATATACTGAGCCCTAAAATCCTGTCTTTCTTAATTTTTCAAACAACGAATAGCACATAGCATTATTTCGATATTAAGCATAAAGTTCGAATAAGATGGTAATAGTTCCTTAAAATATAATTAATGCACTACGTATATATCAGGCGCATCACTTTTGAGATTTGACCTTTAAACGTTGGTTGCATTGACGAGCACATGTGGTCGACAATTAGAAGGCATGTGGGTAAATGTTATAATGAAGATACGTCGAGAATAGAGAGTTGCATTTTAATTATACGGGCAACGAAAATATGTCAAGCAAAGAAAATATGATATTCGATAAGTCATATATTAAGTGACTACCACCATTTCTGTGCATTAAATCGAACTCGATTTCTTACAAACTTTACACTTATTTTGAAAATCATGTTTTTTGTCTGTATTTTTATCATTATGCAGGTTTGTGTAAATTATTGTAAATGACGGTACTAGTAGAAACCGTACTGGTCGATCTTATGATTAAATACACTTTAAGTTGCTGGACTTTTCTCCGCATGTTGGGCATTTTTCCCTCTGAGCTATATTAAAATTCCTGGGAAAGTGCTCGACCTTCAATTTCAGTAAGTTCGCCGACATCTTTTTGATGCAAAAATCATAGGGGAATTTTGGCCTTTCTGACGCAAATCTGACGCCATACTGATCAGGCTCATATCTGCATGAGCACGCTTCCAAAATATTTCCTGCCTGCATATATATAATTATTTCGATATATTTTAAACACTTTAATGATGATTAAAGATAATTATTTCAAGATTTATACAAATAATACAGGTCGTACACGTTGTTTTTACCAACATCAGACGAATTTATAGTACAAAAATTTCTTAGGCATAAAAATGAAAATTACTTGTGAGTTAGCTGACTTTTTTCAATATTTTTTTAAGTTATAATAGTTTATGAAATTTCACAAGTCCTTCCACATAACTATACACATGTGAAATTCCATAGGTTCCAAATCTACATGTGAAATTTCACAGGTCCTTCCACATAACTTCACGATATAATTATTTCGACATATTTTAATCACTTTAATGATAATTAAAGATCATTATTTCAAGATCTATAATACAGGTCGTACACGTTGTTTTTACCAAAACCAGGCGAATACAAAAATTTCTTAGGCATAAAAATAAGACTGCATGGTTACTTGTGAGTTAGGTGACTTTTTTTTTAATTTTTTGCAGTTATAATACTTTATAACTTCAAAAAATTTTAAAAAAGTCAACAAACCCACAAGTAATTCTCATTTTTATGCCTAAGAACATTTTATATGCCAGAAAATGTTTGGCTGTTTTATGGAGATAAATTCTAACTTCCATTGCATTTTTCAACAATTAATATTTGGAGAAAGTGTTATATTTTGTTTCCTAAAAACTACATGCTTATACATTAAAGAAACACATGGCTAAAGATCATGAACAAAGACTATAAGTTGGGAAATACAATTTTAGCCAGTTCATAAATTATTTGATTAGCTGATTGTTCCTTTAGCATGGGTACACAGGATACAGTGTAATACCTGTAATAATGTTCATTATCTAACATAAGGTTTGGTTCATATTGCATGAGAGTGAGAAATTATAATGTAGATCAGCAGTTTTACCAAACGAATGAAAGGTTGTTTTCAAAAATCTGTTGAACTTTATATCCCATGTATGCCCGTAATTGTTAATAAAAGTTTTGACTTATTACAGGAAGTCGCTACAAGGAAGCTCCGGGTTCTTTCATTTTCTCGTTACGCAACAAGGAAAACCTAGCTCCATTTAAAGCTCCATTGAAAGACGAAAGTCATGGCAACGCCGTGTGTGCCAATCCCAGTTATGGACCAACAATAGGGGGTGGCCATGATATTCACATCTCCGACAACGCTCATTCTAATACCAACTCATACACAAACTTCGGGCATACTTATGAAGCTGCAGAAAACGTCGGCAAAGACACCATCCTGGCAGGGACAAAAAAATTCTCTCCTTCTGAACTGGAAGTGTTTCATCTTGTATAAACCCGAACATAGCGTCGCCTGCAAAAGAATTTGAGTATACAACACCGTTTTACTATTGATGACAATATGTAAATATTTTGAAACAATTTTATTCTCACATGCTTACACTCATCATCAGGAAGCTTCTCTTCTCGGTAGAAGCCTCTTAAAAAGGCCATTAGGGTGCTGAGGATTTAGGACAGCAACCCGACTAGGACAGCTAAAAATTAATATACTTAAAATAAACTTGTTCCTTTAATTTCAATCGTTTGTAAATCTACCACAAGATAAAGACATTATTTAGCCTAAAGCCAGAAAGGATTCTACTGAAGAGCCGCATGAGCTAAGTAAAGTAACTGTGACTGGGCATGCCCAAATTTTACAGTCATCGTTGATCATACAGACATTAGTTTGGAATTATTTTATACAGATCAATGTTTACAAATATTTTTTTAATCCCATGAGGCACAAATTGCCAATCGCCATTTTCAAGTACATATTCCTGTCCCGCCATATATATGATTCACGCAGTGCACAGCTCCAACTTCTTATACTAAAAGCGGGTATTTCAAGGTCTTAGTCAAGTTTTTTGCTGAGTTGGGTGATTACTGATAATAAACTTGCATATACCCATGGATTTAAAATGATGAATAATGTAGTTTTCATTATAGACGGTAATCCAGCGTGTTTATTGTGTCGTTTTGAGTTCTTGCATGATCCATGTTAATTAAACGCCAACAAAATCAAATTCGTTGTTTTACGGTCTTCGGAAAAGCTTGAAAAATCTATGCGGTCTCGTGAAAGTAGGCCATTAAGAATTAGAGCATGATATTCCAATTGATCGTGTTTCCATCCAACATGCAATATTACCAATCAAATATGTATATAGGAAATTAAAAGTGAGCTAATGAAAATTATTACACCGCGGCTAGAAATTTTATGACTTTCACAGTTCATAACTTTCGGTTTGTGGATGTTTAACAAAGTGATTGAAGATCAGGACGATTAACCGACGTTTAGGCGTTTTAGAAAAGAAATAGATACAAACAGCAATTAACTAAAATATATAGGAAACGGCATAATTTATTTCCCGTCAGAGAAACTTTGATTACTAAAAAAATATTTTAATTGAAAAAAGTGTTTTTATCTTGCTATAGCAAGTGTCGGATGTTTAATGTCCTCAATATTATAATACGGACGATGTTATTGAGTTTCCGTGATAGTCCACATGTAAATTACAACCCAAGGGGTAACGACGTGAAATGCTATCCAGTCGATTGAGAAAGGCAACGAAAAAAAATTGAATATATGGACATTAAATTGTTGATATAATTGTACTCCGACATATGTTGCTAATGCGGTTGTAAGACAAAATGTTGCGTTTCATTAGGACAAGAAACTTTCCCGGACGATTTCTTGTTTTGTTATTCCTGCCAAGTTTTGCAAAATTAGAAGATGAGTACTGCAGGCCAGAAGACGCTACGAATATGGCAGTATATCTTTTCGATTATTGCAGAAAGGTAAAATGATATATTATATAAAATGAATATTGCTGCTCTGAGTCACCAATCGGGTAAGCTGAAAATTGGCTTGTGGGAATCGAACCCGCGATTTTTGCATGGTTTGCTATATATAGTTTTCGATATAATATTTGATTAAAAATATGAGACGTGTATAATGACCTTATAATAATATTAAATAACTATATACGCTAAAGGTATAATTCATGAATGGTGAGTACTGAAATAGACTTCATACAGAACTCATGATTTCTACAACGCATTCATCATAATATATTAGTCCGCCAGTTCCAGATCTTTATACTACTAATCACGGATATTTCTTCTCTATTTAGATGCTTGCTCTTTGCCAAACTATTTCGCATATCTGAAGCCCATACGTTTGTCGAGCGCTGCGCTCAGAAATGTTTGAAGGAACCTTTTTGTGCTTGGTATAACTTTAGGAATATGCTCCAGAAAACGAACTCGAACTGTCAGTTAGCACACGCTCTGAACTACAACATGAGCAACTGCAACATAGACGACAAAGGCTGGGTGTTTTATCATTTGCTTGGGCAAAGGAGGGTAAAATAAATTGCTTCTCTTTTTTATGAACACACGCGCAATGCAATAAATTATCGAAGTGATTTATTATATTTATTAAATTATTCACAAACAGCATGGGTCCGCACGTTTTAATTTTCAAAGTGCCGCTTTTAAGCCTATTGATCGATTTTTAGCTCGCCTGCACTTTAGTGCAAGAGAGCTATTGCTATAGTCTTGGCGTCCGCGTCCCCGTCCCCGTCCCCGTCCCCGTCCCCGTCCCCGTCCGCGTCCACACTACATGATAAGTAGAATGTTAAGATGCCACTTTTATTTTCCCATTATTTTCAACTTATCTACTTAAGGAGTCTATTTGTTGCAAAAGAACCATTTACCAGGGGGGAGTGAACATTATACAACAAAATATAATGATAAGGTCAATGTTAACATGCTATATTTTTTCTATACTTTGGCTTTACATCAGAGGAATCATTATCAATATAAGTCATCAATATGCATTGTGACTATTTAGTGCCATTTGGTACGCATTTATACAATAATAAAGAGAGTTTTGTTCAAAATTATCAAATGATAAGGTGAATGTTAAGCTAATTAGCATAATGATAAGGTCAATGTTAAGATGTTATATTTTTTAAATATTATGGCTTTGCATTGGAAGATTCTTTATAAATATAGCTCATCGATATGTCTTGTGACTATATGGTGACATTTAGTACACATTTACACAAAAATAATGGAATTTTGTTCAAAATTATCAAATGATAAGGTGAATGTTAAGCTATTTAGCATAATGATAAGGTCAATGTTAAGATGCTATATTTTTTAAATATTATGGCTTTACATCAGAGGAATCATCATAAATATAAGTCACTGATATGCATTGTGACTATTCAGTGCCATTTGGTACACATTTATACAATAATAAAGAGAGCTTTGCTCAAAATTATCAAATGATAAGGCAAATGTTAAGCTTATTAGCATCATGAAAGGTCAATGTTAGAGTTATCCAGAGTTATCACGCTCATTACGATTTTCAGGGCTATTGTGTAGCCCTGTCTTTTTTAGTTCAAAGTTGTAGCTGAATCATATTTAACGAAAGTATTTGTACAACCCTAAGCCAAATGAGAAACTTTCAAATATTTTCACCTGTATGCTACCATATGTTTGTATTGTACATGTACAATTTAAATTATGAGATTGTGTTGTGACATGCCGTATCAAAATTCAATCGCTTAATATAGAAATCATTCAGGGAGTGAATATATATAAAACATAGTCCAACGTTAAAGTTTAAAGAATATTGTCAGATAATTCGCAATTACAAGCTTTAGCACATAAGTATTTATAAGTAGAAAGCCGATAGGCTCGGAATGCAAAGGCAAATGGCAACGCATGTGACATATATTTGCATATTATTTATGTAGATACACATGCAAATATATTATTAAAGCCAGTTAAATTGTAGACAGGGCCCTATAAGATTTATGTACATACCTTTTCGTTGTTTGATGCATAATCCTTTTTTGTGTAGATATAAAAATCCAATCTTGTCTTTTTCATAAAGCTAGGCGCACACACGACGATTTTAGTCGGCCGATTCCTGTCTAGATTGTCTAGATGGATGCTTTCATCAAAATGTGGCGACTGGCAATCTATACTTGGTCAGATTAGACCAAGTAGACTCGCGTACACGCGCGAGGCGCGAGCGCCGCGAGAAGGAAAACATGTCTGGGCAAGGGCTGCCTGGCTGCCTATATGTCTTAAAGCAGGGTTTTGCTTGGTCCGTTAACTTACCTGTTGATATCACGTGCGCGGATTGCGAGAAACGGAAGAAATATTGGTCACAAATAAAACTAATGTAATTCCGCGGCCAGTTTTGGCCAGTAATTCTGAGGTCACAACTAATATCTGAAGTTTGTGCTTAATATTACCTTCCAACGCGGATTTTAGCCTTGTAATTTGTAATAAAAAGATCGGTAATTTGTGCTTCATACAGATACCTTTCATACAGAGTTTAGCCTTATTCTAGACAAACAGTGCAGGCGAGCGTTAGGTGATTTCAGCACCTCTCTGGTTAATTTTATTACAGCAGGTGCTGCAAACAATATTCTGATGGATATACCTATTACACCAATTACTTGAACCTCTAAAGTACCCATAGCTATATTTATAATATTTACATAGATGTGAAGTCAGTATAATGCATTTGATTGAAGGTTTTTTCTTTTCAATGTTACATCTGATGAAAAATAGTTAGACAGTCTAACTTAGACTATTAAAACACAAACCAATTTTTCATAGGTGCCTTGTAGTAAAATGAAGAATTGTAAAAATGGAGGAAAAACAGTCATTGATCTTAACGATGGACCTGGATCAGATCCTTACAAGTGTAGATGTGAAGGAAAATACGAAGGAAATCTTTGTGAATATGGTGAGTGAAGCGTTTTAGCTTGATTTTGATTCTTGATCAGAACTAGTGCAATTATCAGCGTGAAAAGTATAAATGCGTGATGGTAGTGGAATGACTTTATCTGCATTCTTGGCCTTGTATCTCCGGAAAAAAGTGCTGTCTTTCTTTTCTTTTCTGTTTATTTATAATTTCTATTCTTTTATTCCATATTTTTTAAAAACTATGAAAATGTTTTGACATCCCCCCCCCCCACTCACCTTTAACATACAAAATATAGGAAGATTTTTAGTCCAACAAGTAACAAATTACTGATGAAACAATAAATAAATCCTTTGTATTCGTTCTAAGTGCGTAAAACGTGGAAAAACTTTATAGGCAGGGTGCCGAGACAGGGGAAGAGGGAGGAGGGGGAGAAGGTGGAGCAGGTGCAGCTTCCCGGCCCCTTTTACGAGCAAGAGCAAAGGGCAAATATGCCCATTTATTTTGGAAAAGTCATTCTAAATAATATTGCACCATTCTCTCAATTTTGAAACCATCGCGCTTCGCAACCACAAACATTAGACACGGAAGTCTTTACGGAAAGCTAAAATACTATTCATATATACAACGAATTTATCCTTTCCTTTGGTCTTGTATTGTTTGGGAATACCTGTTTATAAGTGTGGTCGCCGCTTCTTTTGAAACTTGAAAATTTTAAATCAATTCAACTGGATTATAATTTTCTTTAGTTACAGGCCTTTTCTCTGAATCCACGATACTCTCTGGAATACTTCACTTATATCAAGATTTGCTACAAATATGGA